TCTTGCAGGAAGAACTCGCATATACAACACCTGAGGTTGTCAATGTTCAATTCCAGATTTCAATAATATTGCTTTCTCTTGAAAGATATCGTTCCTGTTCTGATAATTGCAGTTCTAAGTATGTTTCTAAGTACGATCTGCTCACTTTGTTTTGTGATTCTTTTGTCTTTTTTTCGGAGATCTTCGAGAGTAATTTTTGAATATCCTTCACTAATTGGTCATGATTTGCTTATTACTTAATTTGAAACAATGCATTGAACTTCGTGTCCGCCATCTGAAACTATTTATTAAGTTTACCACAACACTTAGACAAAATCGCAAGTTAGATGAAATGAAAAAAAAAGTAGAAAAAAATGGAATCACACTGCCGTGGAAAAAGAAAGATCCAAAAAAATTTGCTTATTACATCGCTGATTTCGATAATGCGACCAAGTTTTCAATTTGAAAGCGCGTTTGTCTCAAACTGGGTAAAAAATAATAATTTTTGATGTGAACGAAAAGGGCAATAAATTCTTCATAGATTGCTATGATGCAAAATTTGGACCAACATCGTTTCATCGAAAACGGAGTAATTTTGGCTTCTAGGTTTAAAAATAACGCTAACAAACCGGGCGGAGTGTTGATCAAATAAGATCAAAGGAAAGCTTTTTAGGAAGTGAAATGTAGGGTTCAATCACCAAAGCAATTAAACAGCAAAATGGATTCTTTTTAGTGCTTTGGGAGAGGTCAAAAAATCAATCTGGTTTACCTTTAAAAATTTCGACAATTTTTTGAAAATCCGCGCCCTCCTCGAGACAATTTTAGACCCACCACTGGAAAATGTGATGACAAAAAATCTCTAAGTATACGTGGGTGCTCAGTGCAAGCGCTCGCTTATTTACTGCTTGAAGTGACTGTTTTCAAACCGCAGATTCTAATACATCAAGGTAAAAAGTTTTGAGGTCAAGGCACCAAAAGATTTTAGATTGCAGAAAATTTCGCCAAAAAATGTTGTTTACAAAGTCAAAGTTTGCTTGGATAAAAAATCGACCCGAGCGTAAAATGTCTGTTACTTTTATCAGACGTCGGAAAAATTGCCTAGATTTTCAGAAATTTTCAAAAGCAGTAAACTCAGCTGCTCTCATACTTAATAAATGGATGTAACTAACATTACGCGGCTAAACTGTGCTTTTCGTGCATCGTTAACGGAATTCCCAACAGCCCAAATCAGGTTTGTCGCGGATTCCGCATCATTGCTACTTTTCTTTGATTTTTTTTATTGCTTTGGATTCCACAAACAATAACCTAAAACACTGTATAAATCTCAAATAAACCTAAATCTCAAATACTGCCCTAATGAATTCACTAGAATCGGATTAAACTAGATCAGTATTTGCGATTGATGGAATTCCAAATTTTGACCGGTTTTTGGGATCGATGCAAGCTCAAACACTGATCTAATTCGGCAATATGTTGTGCGTTATGTTTCCAAAAAAAAACAATTTATTCGGTGTTGTGTTTATTCGGTGTTTTGTTCCCAAAACCAGTATTTGGGGTTGATGCAATCAAAAATACTGATCTAATTCGGCGATTTGCTTTGTGTTGTGTTTCTAAACACTCACTATCCAATTACTCCAATTTTTGAATTTATTCGTTGTTGTATTTCCAAAATAGTGATCAGTGTTTCCAAAATTTAAAAGCAAGGGCCTAACCATTGTCAGCGGAATCCACGAACAATTCTCAAAACTTTGCTTAAATAAATTGGCGGAGGTCACCTTTTAGTTAACCAATGGAGTCCACCAATTTAGTTGGAGTCCACCGATGGAGTCCACCTTTTAGTTAGTCCACCAATTTAGTTTAAAATCCGTTTTTAAAATCTGCAATGCTATAGTGTTAGCAATTGTGAGTTGTTGCTAATTATGCTTTTTAACAGGCAAGTTTTTGTAGCTCAGTATCATTTTTTGGGGAGCAATTTTTTTTTGGAAAAATGAGCTTCAAACTGCTTTGGTTTGGATGTTTGCCTAGCTTCATTCGACGATGATAAAAAGCATTCTTGTCCTCGAAGTACTTAAAATCAACTCTAATGGTAGAGGTAATCTTTCCATTGCCCTCGTTGTGAGAATGACAAGCTTTTATTTCTGCGTGAAAAATTTTATACTCAAGTTTATGCAGGAAGAACTCGCATATACAACACCTGAGGTTATCAATGTTCAATTCCAGATTTCAATAAGATTGCTTTTTCGTGAAAGATATCGTTCCTGTTCTGATATCTGCAGTTCTAAGTATGTTTCTTCTTTCTCCAGCATCACGATCTGCTCACTTTGTTTTGTGATTCTTTTGTCTTTTTTTCGGAGATCTTCGAGAGTAATTTTTGAATATCCTTCACTAATTGGTCATGATTTGCTTATTACTTAATTTAAAACAATGCATTGAACTTCGTGTCCGCCATCTGAAACTATTTATTAAGTTTACCACATTATTTAGACAAAATCTCAAGTTAGATGGAATGAAAAAAAAAGTAGAAAAAAATGGAAAATGATACCAAAATCACACTGCCGTGGAAAAAAAAAGATCCAAAAATATTTGCTTATTACATCGCTGATTTCGATAATGCGAACAAGTTTTCAATTTGAAAGCGCGTTTGTCACAAACTGGGTAAATAATAAAAAATTTTGATGTGAACGAAAAGTGCAATAAATTCTTCATAGATTGCTATGATGCAAATTTTGGACCAACATCGTTTTATCCAAAACGGAGTAATTTTGGCATCTTGGTTTAAAAATAACGCTAACAAGCCGGGCGGAGTGTTGATCAAATAAGATCCAAGGAAAGCTTTTTAGGAAGTGAAATGAAGTGTTAAATCACCAAAGCACTTAAACAGCAAAATGGATTCTTTTTAGTGCTTTGGGAGAGGTCAAAAAATCAATCTGGTTGACCTTAAGAAAATTCGACAATCTTGTCGAAGATTTTTTGAAAATCCGCGCCCCCCTCGAGACAATTCTAGACCCGCCACTGGAAAATGTGATGACAAAAAAATCTCTAAGTATACATGGGTGCTCAGTGCGAGCGCTCGCTTATTTACTGCTGGAAGTGACTATTTTCAAACGGCAGATTCTAATATATCAAGGTAAAAAGTTTTGAGCTCAAGGCACCAAAAGATTTTAGATTGCAGAATTTTTCGCCAAAAAATGTTGTTTACAAAGTCGAAGTTTGCTTGGATAAAAAAACGACCCGAGCGCAAAATGTCTGTTACTTTTATCAGACGCCGGAAAAATTGCCTAGATTTTCAGAAATTTTCAAAAACAGTAATTTCAGCTGCCCTCATACTTAATAAATGGATATAACTAACATTACGCGGCCAAACTGTGCATTTCGTGCATCGTTAACGGAATTCCTAACAGCCCAAATCAGGTTTGTCGCGGATTCCGCATCATTGCTACTTTTCTTTGATTTTCTTTGCTGCTTTGGATTCCACAAACAATTATCTAAAACATTGTATAAATCTCAAATAAACCTAAATCTCAAATACTGCCCTAATGATTTCACTAGAATCAGATTCAACTAGATCAGTATTTGCGACTGATGGAATTCCAAATTTTGACCGGTTTTTGGGATCGATGCAAGCTCAAACACTGGCCTAATTCGGCGATTTGTTTTGCGTTAGGTTTCCAAAAATAAAAACAATTTATTCGGTGTTGTGTTTATTCGGTGTTTTGTTCCCAAAACCAGTATTTGGGGTTGATGCAATCCCAAATACTGATCTAATTCGGCGATATGCTTTGTGTTGTGTTTCTAAACACTCACTATCCAATTACTCCAATTTTTGGATTTATTCGTTGTTTTGTTTCCAAAATAGTGATCGGTGTTTCCAAATTTTAAAAGCAAGGACCTAACCATTGGCAGCGGAATCCACAAACAATTCTCAAAACATTGCTTAACTAAATTTGCGGAGGTCATCTTTTAGTTAACCAATGGAGTCCACCAATTTAGTTGGAGTCCACCGATGGAGTCCACCTTTTAGTTAGTCAACCAATTTAGTATAAACTCCGCATTGGAGTCCACCATTTTAGTTGGAGTCCACTGATAGAGTCCACCTTTTAGTTAGTCCGCCAATTTTGTTTAAAATCCGTTTTTAAAATTTGCATTGCTATAGTAAGACTTCCAGCTCTAGCTTTTTATTGTTCATCTGCGAGTTTAGTTGGAAACAAAATTCGGAATCCACTAAGAGTTTGCGGAATCCACTTACATTGCGGTTCCACTTACATTTTGTGGAATCCACTCACAGTTTCGGAATTCAGAACAAGTAGCTAAATTGGCTTGTTGCGAAATCTGCGACACAAAAAATGTGCCGACAAAATTTACGTTACAGGTATTTGTACGCGGAATCCACGGCATCTTTGTAAGAGGAATCGATTTACATTTTGGAACATAATGAAAATTTGTCTATGAAATCCAGGAACATACAGACACAAAATTGTGCGCCTATCCAGTGCACAGTTTCGCCTCGTAATGAAGGTTCGACGCAGGCGCCGATTTTTGATATTCCACAGGGGATTCAAATTTTCACAGACCGCTTTCAGATATTTTCTTAGCTGAGGAAAGAAGGTCAAATCATTTCATCGGCTGATTTTCCAATCTAAAAACACTAGCATTAGTTTTCACTGTAATTTTTGGAAAAATTTGGCCAAAAATTAATACTTTTTTTGATGTGCGCTCTTCCCTTCAGTGCATACTGACGTTAAAAAAAAACGAAAAAAAGTAAGGATGGTTGACCAAAAACGGATGTCGTAAAAGGTACTTTTGGGTGACCAGGGGGTCGCATCCTGAGAGTACCGAAGGAGTTTCCGCCAAAATCTAGCATAAATCAATCTTTTATTGTAGCGAGAGGCTAAAATTTACATGTAAACGTTAAAAAGCAGGGGAAAGAAAAACACAAGCCGGGAAAATTTTATATAATTTTCACTTTCTGTAGTCTCTCATTTTGTGATTGGGTAAGTGGCCTTTTTTGTTGATACGTTTTATTCACTCCCTTGCCATTTCCTGATACTTTGAGTTCACGTGCAAAAATCGAGGCAAAATACAGAAAATATTTTCACAGCAACGAATACAATTACCAAATTAGCTACAGCACAAAGTGATTCCCTTCACATTCAATTTGTTTTCTGAATACAGAAAAGCTGTGAAATCAGTTTTTGGAGGCTACTATCGCCGATACCTGCAGCAGACTTTTTTGCAAATCTTCTGAAATGCTTGTCTGAACTCTTTGTTGAAGATTGTGTAAATGATTGGGTTGCAGCAGGAGTTCAGATAGCCCAGCCACGTGAACAACTTGAACACCCAAACTGGCGCGGAAAGTTCAAAGAAGTTTAGGAGGGGTCCACTGACGTAAAGAATGAAGAACGGCAACCAGCAGGCTATGAATGAACCCAGAATGATGCCCAGGGTCTTGGCTGCTTTCTGCTCTGTTCGCAGAGATATGAGTGATCGTGCTGGGTTCTTTTTCAAACTGATTACCACTCCAGTCGCCGAGTACGATATGCGCTCGGTAAACGTCATTTCCGATCGTTTTCCACTCGAAGCCCCACAACTCATGTTTGATGCGTTTGAGTTTCTCTTTGTGGGAAGTGGGGTTCTTTCCTGTACAGCAGGGGTGATTTCAGTCCCTTCATCCGGCGCCAAGGTATTTGATGATTTATTCCTCGGCGGCGCTTCGTCCAGACATGTTTCACCGTCGCCAGCAATGCCTGCCGGCGGCGATGGCGACGACGGTTGCATGTGCATTGTTCCAGGTGAGTGCAGCGCGACTCCTCCGAGCGCAAGGTGTCGCAAGGTGTTGTTGTTTCGTTTCCGTCTTGCTCTGCCCCTCTTGGCCGCCACTTGGTATATGCGAATGTATAACACCACCATGAGCAGCAGTGGTGCGTAGAAGGACCCGATGGCAGAGTACACTATGTAGGCTATGTTGTCGATCAGAACACAGTCCTGGAATGACAAAAAAACTACTACAGACACTATTTTTGTCGAGCCATAACTAATAAAATACCATAACCATAACTAATGTCAATACTGATCTCAAAGGTCTGCGCAGAAGTCATCACTACTAAAACTTCTTTGAGAAAATTTCAGATTTTAAGTTTAAATTTCAAAGTCAAATAACATATAAAAGTTGATTTTTTCCCAATTACGACTATGTAATCGAATATGTTTGATGATTTGTTCCTCTGCGCCATAAAATTATACCGATGGTCTCAGATCAAAAGTAGAAAAAAAAATTAATGAGCAATCATTTTTGATGAACTATGAGTCTACTTGCCGAGTATTTGCACTTATTTCATGAGGTGGGAGGGAACCAATTGAAGGGGGTGTAAAATTGTGATGAAGTGTTATGTGAGATGTAGAGGGTCGTGTGTGAGTACTGACCTGTCCGTTGTGTCCCCTGCCCTCACTCCTCCAGATGGTGCAGAGTGGGAGTGATATGATGAGACTGAGCACCCAGATGGCCACTATCAACTTCCCAATCAGTCCCTTCGTCCGCTCCATTCCATAATCGAATGGCTGCGAAATGGCCCAGTACCTACAATTGCCCATCATCAGCAACAGCATTAACAAGGGACACAATTTTATAATAAAAATCAATATAAAACATCACCAAAAAACAACACTGCCAATGTTAATAACAACTCATTTAAAAACATAATCATAAGCATACTTCACGTATTGGAGCATTGAACCTGAATGACACACACAAGGGAAGTCACACACAAAATTGAAAAACAAAGTGATAAACTGTTTATCTGTTACTGTGATAAAAAAGCAACAGTTGACTTTTTATATCTGAGTTCCTGTGCTTGAATACTTTCGAAACCGGGATGAAGTTGCATTGCAATTCAGAAGAGTATAAAAGATCTTTCATCAATATTTCATTAAATTACAAGTGTTTATCAAAATTGCGCTAGTAGCTGATATTGATACAAGCGCATGATTACAACATAGTTCATCCATGTATTATGACTGGTACATTCTTTAAATCGACCAAAATACTGCAGCAAAAGTAGTACATTCCTGAATTTTAATGCGAATCCTATCCGGGAACGCTTGGAAAAAAAAACAGGCAAAGACAGTTAGCTTAACGATTTTGAGTCAAAATTTGTCCGGAGAAAAACCAATCCGAGCATAAGCATTGGGTTGTTTTCTTCGAAATCTGTACCACAAAGCTTTTTTCATCAACGACCAAGCACTGATTTGACAGCCTGATTTTAACGCGTCTAATCTAGTTTTTTTTCTTCAACAAATAATTTAATTTTTTTAAATGAGAAGAAACTTAATTTTTTCTAAATAAGTTTCTCCTTATCCAGAAACATAGAAAAAAGAAAGATGGGTACATTGAAATCAAAAAAGTTTGAATCAATTAGTGGACCTGAACATCTTGGTGGAACTAATCCATCGCTCGATAAGCTTTGCGTTAGCAGTCCTGAATTTTGCGTAGTCATGAATAATCTCAAATTGCTCCAGTTGGCAATTTTTTCTAAGGAAAGCAAATCCTTGAGTTTTTTAATCACTTTTAAAGCGTGCTGTAAAACTTTATTGGAAGAGAAACTAATAGGCAATTAACTTTTAAATGTCTTTATTTGCAGACGCAATTGTTATAAATTGAGTTTGATAACCAAGTAATGAGACCAATTAAGTTGCGTCAGTTCAACTTGGAGTGGGGAGTAATTTGCCGCGCTTGCTTAATTATCGATTACACATTAGCGAGCACAAAAAACGGGGGTCGAGAAATTAGATGATCAGCAAATTAGTTCGAGGTACTTAAAAGGAAACTAGACGATTTTGCAAAACTGAAATTGTGAGAAAATAGACAAAAGTGAGAGAGATTAAAATTGTTTGCAGACAAATTGCGTGGGAAAAATAAAATTGTTTGCAGACAACAGTTAAATTCTGTGGCTAAAAATTTTCCAAGTCAATCATTCATAATTTATACAATTCAGAACTCTCCTGCAATATTCGGATTTGACATTTTATGTTCATTGAAACTAATTGTTTTGATAGGTATTGACATTTTGTGTTCTTTTTGTACTTGTGAAACTTGACTCTTAAAAAAAATTTTGTTGGTCCTTTCCTTTTCATAGCTTTTTCGTCTAAAATGCCAGATCTGTAAAAAAGAAAATTTCGTCTAATTTCGTTTTTTAAGCATCTGTCTAAACTGCTTATCGTCTAAATCCCTAGGCCCTCAAAATTTTTTTTTGAAAGTGCGCGTAATTGAGTTTAATATTTTGAGCATCTAAGCAATTTTCAAACCACTATGACTTTTTAGAAATGATCATGGGTAAAATTATTTCCAACTTTGATTTGACCACATGATAAAATTATTTAAGAAAAAACTGAACCAAACAGAGACAAGTTTCTTTCAAACAAAGTATACAAAGAACTAGGCAAAGTAATTTGAAAAATCAATGGTTGTACAGAAAGTCAACTTAAAGTTGCAGACAAAATCTAAACACAATCATGAGAGCACCGTGATCTGCGAGAATCGAAAGTCTGTTTCTAAAGATCGAACAGACTGTGCAAAATGCTCAAGACCCGATTACAATGTCTAGAATAAATTAAAAATTTACTTAAGTTATAGTTTCACATTCCGTAGATTTTTTCCCTGACGAATGCATTTTTCTAATTAAAAATTTGTGACGGATTTTTTTAACACCGAAAAATGTTTTTTGAACTGAAATGTAGCGAAAAATTGACTCTTTGCCCGCAATATTTTTTGTTTAATTATTGTTCCGACTTTAAGAGAAAGTGAGGATTTTATAGAGTCGGGTTGTTTATTTAATAAGAAAAATTTAACAAAACTCTTTGCTCCATCGGTGGATCGATCCCTTGATCTGTTTGAGCCCAGCTGGTTGTGCACACCATTATAAAACCCACTCACGACTGTGTCTAAATTGCTCGTTTTATATTGTACAGGAACCGAATTATACCGCACTACAAAATTGTTTTATATTGATTTGAGGCAATAAGCTAATTGGTCTGATTAATTCTACACACGACTCAAATTTTAACACTTAAAAGTTGATATTATCAGCTTAAAATTCGACTCCTTTTCTCCCCTCACCTCGCACGAGCATCCTTTTTGTGGTTTAATGGATGGGTTAAGTAGGTTAAATACGAGGACTAAAAATCTTTGTAATGACCTAATTAGTCTGCTTTTCATATCAAAAAAAAATGGAAGAAGTGAGAAAAAAGAGAAACAAATTTAAAGCTTTGCAAATATTTAATTTAGCAAAAATTTATTTGAGACCAATTAAAAGGCAGTCGGAAGATTCAGGGCTTTGCCCTGATGCGAGCAGTCTCGTTGTACCTGACCTGTTTCAGAATTTTTGAACCAGTGATTGAGCCTATCTGCATTTTCAACTGATCGGTAATTTTATTGACATTACCAATTTGTCATGATTTTCGAATGCGTCTCGGTACGCATTCCCAACTGAATTGAAACTAGTTAAACGATTCAAAAATTGCGTAAAATTTTGCTAATTTTATTACCGTGTGCTTAAAATTGCGTGAGGAGGAAGTAATAAAAGCTTAAATTTTGTTGGAAAAATCAATTCTTATTTTCAAGAAGAGCTATTTCAGTATATTAAGCTGCAGTTGGAATACTCAGGGCTATGCCTTGCCCCGACACGAGCAGTCTTTCTATCTTTCAATGATCCTTTTCTTTCTAAGATCATGTGTACCTGTAACATGGCAGTTAAATTGGTCGTGTCTATCACCTTTCTTGAGCCAGGTTTGTTTGTGATTGTTATCTCTTTTTGCAGGGTATTTCTCAAAAGTTCAAGTTTTTTATCGCTTCAAAGCCATATTTTTATGTGATATGTTCGTTTTTGCACTCATATATGTCCAGGTAAGATGTTACTTGTTTTTTGTTTTTTTTTTAAATTAAAACTTATAAATTAATTATCAATAACTTTTATCAGCATGTTATGGCCTGTGGAAAAACGGCACCACATTTTTTTCCAAAAATTCTTAGATTTGTTTCACGCTTTTTGGAACGATGATTGTGGTCAGACCATTCTGTGACATTTGCACAGCGACTGGCTTATCTTGTTACAAACAAAAAAGAATGGTTTGAATGGTTACGACTAAAACTTTAGGCGAGAGAAACCTTCGGCATACGGCATGAACGGGAATCACGACTCAGACGGTTGGATGATTTTATAACCCGATGCTCCGATTAAAATATGGTTCGTCTTATTGAAAAAAAGAAAGCATAATTGCATCATGAGTATAAAATTATAGAAGAATCCGGAGTCGCTACGAGTCGCACTAAAGACATTTACAGACAGTCAAGTAAAGACAGTTCCACGACATTTTCAGAGCAGCCTAATCTTATAATTGTGGCAACTTTCGAAGTCTAAACATTAATGCCTAAAATTAGGGACCAAATAGTTTTAGAAGCAAAAATTCAGCAAAAATTGCGACGTTTTTTTAGGTTGATGTTTACCCAAACTCTAAGGACCCTAGTTTGCCAAAATGTTTGCCCCCGCCTTCCGCTAAGTGTATACTATTTGTTTGGCTATTTTCCAGTTATATTATCTACAATCATGGAAGAAAATAAGTGGAGAATATGCAATCTCCGGATAATTCTAATAAAGACCATTTTCATCCGCAAAAATGATGAGATGATGAATTTTAGTCGTGCAAATCTGGAATTGGCAATTTTGAGTAGCGGAAGTTTTCACCTAAGTGTCAGACTCTGTAATTTGTTTCTAGATTAGTGTATGGTATAATGTAATTATTGTATAATGTAAAATAGTGTAATTATAGTGAATGGGATACCTGTCAAGTGCGATGACGCATAGGTGAAGGATGGAAGCAGTGCACATCATCACATCCATCGTCCTCCAGAAGTCACAGGTGAAGTAGCCAAACACCCATTGGTCTGTAAAACACATACAGACACACTGATAATCAAAACAGTTTGGTGGCATCATTGAGTGCTGCTGGAGAAAACAATCAGACAACGGAGTGAGATCCATTGAACGAAAAGGCTACGTACACAAAACTACAGAGAAATTTTATCCAAAAAAAGCTGGTCTCAAACAAATTTCGCATAAATTTTCAGAAAGTTTAAAAGCACTTTTAATGCTGTTTTGTCACTATGGCCATAACTATTAATATACAATTTTCAAACGAATTTTGAATGGAAACAAAAAACTCCCAGAAACTGTACCCCAAGGCTGGCGTGTTATTAACACATTGTTTTTAACAAGGGTATATTTAACATGTTATTAACCTGCTTTGTTCTTAACAGTGTAAATAACACTTTATTAACCTGCTTTGTTCTTAACATGTTATTAACCTGCTTTGTTCTTAACAGTGTAAATAACACTTAAGCTGTCTAGAGTACAACCAAGTACTTTTTCAGATTTCGTGCGTTATGCCTCGCTCCAAGAAGTCGATTTGGGACAGTTTTACTGCTAATCACGTCGATGGCGTCAAACGAGCAAAATGCAAGGCGTGTGCTGGTGATGTTGTCAACAACCCAGCACGAATGAAGAAGCATTTGGCCAAATGTCAACCAGTCGTCATAAATGTTGACGAACAAACTGCAAGTTCATCTGTTCAAGGTCCACCTGCAAAAGTTCTGAAGCAGTCTACACTCCAAGTTTTGTCGACATCGGCGGTAAAACAACACGAAATCGACCTCAGTGTAACTAGGTATTTTATTGCGACCAATACTCCATTCAATGCAGCCAGTAACAGACACCTGAAAAGTTTGGTACAGAAACTTCGGCCAGGGACAACTATACCCGAAAGACGAAAAATTTCTGGTGAACTTCTTGATGAAGTCTACGACCAAGAAAAACAGAAAGTCAAGCAACAAGTACAGAAGGCCCATGTTACCTTGGCTATAGATGGTTGGTCTACACTAACGAATGACCCCGTTCTCAGAATTTCTTTTTACAAGTCAGGCGTGTGTTATCTCGTCAATACAATTAACACATCTGGTGAGCCTCACACTTCTGATTATTTGGTTCAAGTTGTCAAAGATCAAATCGCTTACGTGGAGGACGAGTTTGGGGTAAAAGTAACAAGTTTTGTTACTGACAATGCTGCTAACATGAATCTTATGAGGAGAGAAATTAGTCATCGACACCACGGCAACATGTTGACACCTCTTGAAACAGCGAAAGCGGTTGAGTATATCAAAGAAGTAGCTGGCGAGGAAATGCTACCAGAGCTCACCAAGTACATGGGTAAAACGTCGCCATACACGGAGTATCTTTTTGGTGAAGGATACAAGAAAGTGGAGCCGTCAGCATGGTGGTCAAGCGGGTCAAAGCTTGGTTTTGACCAAAACTTCATTGACTTCGCGAAGACACTAGTCGACGCTGTTGCGTCAAGTGCTGGTCTCGAAAGGTGCTTTTCAACCTTGGGATTCACCTACGGGAAGTTACGAGCCTCAATGGGGGTCGAAAAAGCTGGGAAACTGGCTTGTTTGTTCAAGCAACTCAACAAATAACCAAATTGAAATTAACATCAGTTTGTGTTTTTAACGTGTTCTTTTCGATAATTAACATGTTAATTTGTTAAAAACGTTTTAAACTAACATTTCGCCAGCCTTGCTGTACCCATAAGCAGGGGCGGGTCTAGGATTTTCTCCAGGGGGGGGGGGGGGGCGGAGTTTCAAAAAAAAATTCGAAAATTTTGTCGACCTTTTTTTTAGGTCAACCGAATTGATTTTTGAGCTCTCCCTAAGCATGGTTTAGTCCAATTTTTGGTAACATTTTCTGCGCCGCAGGCAAAAATTTGAAAAAACAGTCCAAAAAAGGCGTTTTTAGGCACTTTTTGGAAAATTTTGACCAAAAAATTGCGTTTTTTCGGCGCGCGCTCCCCCCTCAAAAATAGAATATATTGGCGCCAAAGGCGCCTTTAGAAAAATTTTAGGGTCGGTTGGCCAAAAATGGATTTCTTAAAAAGTACCAAAGGGGGACCCCTTGGGTCGGCAGGGGGTCGAATCCCTGAGGGGCGCGTCCGCCCCCCCCCCCCCTAAATCCGCCCCTGCCCATAAGATTTAATTTTTCTGTTTTTCAAGGCAACTTTGTGTACTTCAGGAACAAAAACATCTTGTTTGGCTTTGCATTTTTATATCACCTACGAGATGAAATATTGGCCCAAAAATTTAGGTTCAAAAATGGCATCTCAAATAGGCGAAATTTATGTAAGACATGTCATTTGGCATTTGCTTAACATAGTTCTTAAAATTTTAACAGTTTCTTACGCGTTCTTGACTCATGGTATTTGATTAACCAGGATCTTCGTGATTTTATGTACTACCTTTTTAAAATTTAGTAAAATTTCATTTCAAATACGATTATAATCTTTTTCAAACTTTCAAACTTAAATGTAATTTAAGGACCTTTTTAAGTAAATTTTCCATGTATGGAACTATAATATGAATCAATTTGATCATTTGATTTTGACCTCATAACATTTTGATGATAAAAATTAATTTATTAACATTTTTAAAAAATTGCAACGATAAAAAAATGGAGATCGATTTTTTTCACTAATGTACTTGAATAAATTTTTAAAATGTTATCATGATTTTGAAAGATTTAACCAAGTATGTATCAAATTTGGGCTTCTTAATCCATATTCAAAACTCGTAGCAGCCAAACACTATTAACAATAGTATGAATATTTGTTTTTTTTATGAGAGAAACATTTTCAACATCAAAATAATGTTTTTTTTTGTGTCGCTTTCATTCATTGTCTAAGCTTTTTCAGAGCCAACTCAAAATGTAGCTGTTAGCAGTCACGATTTGTCGTATTGGGGCAACATTTTGAATGTGTGGACTGCCTTTTTGGCCTATAGTGAATGTGAGGTATCTGAAAAAAAATTTTGGTCGAAATTTTGTTTAAATTTTTTTTGTCAAGTTTTCCCGTGACACTCAGTTTAAAAGTACATAGTGATATTTCTCATGAAGCAACGCGGTATTTGGATTATTAGCTGACCTAAATTCAATTTGGCTTGATTGTTGAGTCGGCTCAACTACGCGTTATTAGAAAACTGATAAATACCACAAAATCATTGTGCCAATCGGTCGAACTAGTCAAACAAACGTTGAACCTTGATAATTTTGAGGAAAATTATCACAGGTGAAATATCAAATTGATTTGGAGCTGAGGACATTGAAATTTTTGGGACTGTTGAAAAATTCCTTCAAAAACTGCTGATTGAAAAGCAACCCTAGTTCAAACATTCCGTAACTTTCTTGAAAAATTGCGACAAACCATCATTGAGTCGAAAACAATTTTTTGGAGTCAAATTTTTCCTGGAGAATCAAATGCACTGAGTAAACTACAAAGCCAAACTGTGTATTTTGCTAAAAGTAAGCGAATTCCGCGATATGCCGAAAACAGATTTGTCTCGTTATCCGCAACATTGCAAGTTTTCTTTCATCTTCTTTGCTGTCTTGGATTCCACAAACAAAGTGCTAAAACATTGTATTGCTCAAAATCGCTCCAAAATCAGACGAATTGGCAGAATCGGCAACAAAAATTTTGGAATACGCAACTGTTATACATGTGCATAATAAAATAACGATGTCGCAAAATCAGCAACAAAACTAATGTGCCGACAAAAAAAACGTTAATTGTATTTGAGCGCGCAATCCACGAAAAATTAGTGAAAGGATTCCACTCAACTATTGGGAAAAATTTTAAAATTTTTTCTTGATTCCGGTAACCTAGAGACACCAAATTGTGCGCCTATCCAGTGAACAGTTTGGCTTCATATTGAACATAGTTTTTTCGAAAAAAAACATGTGCCTTCTTTTGCTCAAGAAATTCAGTGCAACTATTTTGCTGCTCTTGGAACCACTAGTTGATTTTAAGAAAAATCGCTGCAAAATAGGCTGCCTTGTTTGAAAGTTTGTGATAAAATGACATGTGAGATAGCAAGGACTGCGCATCATAGTTACTTAAAGTTTTTTGTCCAGAGTTTTCATGGCCTAAAAAGCATCGATTACTCTATTTCAATCGCACATTTTGCTCACTAAAACGCAACAAAAGTAATTTGACGTCAAGTCCGATGGCAATTTCTGAGGATTAAAGCGAAAATTTGACCAAGAAGGAAGTTAATAGAAAAGAAGTGATTGATGCTCACTTGTGATTTCGAGTGCGATGGCTATGGGCATGACCACTATGGCCACTAGAAGGTCAGCAGTGGCCAGGGACACTAGCAGATTGTTCTGTACCTGCTGCAGACTCTTCTCTGTGTTGATCGCATACACCACCATCACATTGCCTAAGGCAACAACCAACCACAGCTCAGACACCGAATCATTACAATATAGCTAAGCTGTACCACTCATCCGCAAGACAAAAGCGTCATAGGTGGCACCAGTATACTTAAAATAGTGATTCAACAGAAAACTAGGACCATAAATAAAACATTATTCGTTTCCAAAAACTAATTCGGAAAGCGATATCTTAATATTGAAACGGATCCAGGGTTTTCAAAAATAGATCGAAAGTTTTCAAAAACCTTTTTTGCTCAAATTGTTACAACAATCTAGAAAAAACGGCAAAAAAGACGTTTTTTTGCGCTTTAAAAGTTTCGATGAAAAATGGCGGTTTTTGGAACGCACTTAAATTTTATGATCGGTCGACCAAAAATGGGCGTCCTATAACAGCACCAAAGAGGAATCCTTTGGTGGCCAGGGGGTCGAAAACCTGCTCAGGGACTTTTTGAAGGGGATGGGGGTGTCGGAAAACTTTCGGAAGCTTTGTCGACTTTTTTCAGGTCGACCAATTTGATTTTCTGATGATTCCCAAAACGCAATAAAGACTCTATTTAGCCAAAATTATCTGCGCCGAAGACAGATTTTCGAAAATGTTCTAAAATTACTACATATTGGCGCCGCTGAGAATTATGAAGTAAAAAAAACCAAATGGTCAAGTCCGCCTCTCTAAAAACCACCCCTGCCCCAACCCCCTCATTATCTCAAAAAATCCTTTCTAAAAATTCAAAATCTTGAAACGCTCTTTATAGAAAAAGCTGCAGAAATTAAAAAGTTTTTATACTAATTACTTTACAAGCCTAAACTGAATTCGGTGTCTGCCTATTATGGTAGTGAGAGGAATAATGGAGAGGAGTGATGCGACGAGCCATTGGCGAATCGCAACAGTCCACAGGAAAGCCCCGAAGCCAGTCGCGTCCGAGAGATGCGAGGCAGAATCGTCTGCTGCTGCCGTCTCATTGTTATCGCCTGGAGTCGAATTAGTGACAAGTAAATGGGTGGAAATCGAATAAAGTGTGCTTAGCGCAGGGCTCATAACTGTAGGCTGTATTGTAATAACTACAGGCGGGATGGACTTTGTTGATGGATTTACTCCACTTTTGGGCTGCTCAATGGCATCAGTAGACACAGTCCCATTCGATTTACTCCCCCCTCCTCCCCCGTTATTCCCCGGTGACCAGTTGGCCGTAAAAATATGATCAAAGCCACAACCGATATAGAAAACTGAATAACTACGCTGGTCTAAAAAGTTGTTTGGCTCCAACGGGGTGTGACTTAACAAACGCAACTCGGGTACAACATTTTTCACGCTGTTGTCACATTTTGGCTCATTTATTATTCGACTCTGCTCGGACAAAGTCTGAAGAAATAGTTCGTTCACGTGTTTAGTTGCTGCCTGCCTGAAAACTGATATATTTTGGGAAAAAGTGATGTGATAAATGCAAGTTAAAAGCGATGACACCGCCGAGTAATTATTCCGAGATGGTGTTGATGGTTCTCTCAGCGGAACTGTAGAATCCTGGGAGCTATGGTTTACCGCAACAACCGTTTTATCCGGTAAAGACTTTAAAAGTCTCTCGTCTGCACTATTCGGGTCAGTATGAGTAAAAGAGACTGGCAGAACTTCTGATTGTGCAGAGGAATTTAAATTTAGCAGGTTACCCAAATCTGAATAAAAATTGTTGTCTGTTTTTTTCCTGTTGTTTTTAATTGGCTTCGAATGACTGGAGGTATTTTTCAACAAATTTGAGGATACGTTTCTGCTTTCAAATTTTCTGTCAGAAAATGATTTGTGTTTCGCTTTTTCTTTTTCACGGGGCGCGGTTTCCCTATTTTCAAAGACAATTCGTGATGATTTCGTGTAGGCTTCCGAATTAATTCTGCTACCTTCTGTCTCCACGTAAGCAGGGCTTTGATAGTCGATACAAAGACTAAAACAAATTAAATTTGTTAATGCAACCACTAATAAACTATACCATATCAGTTGAAGCAAACAGACCATACGGAATCACATAAATCAGTCTCTTTATCCATCAAAAATTAGGGTTAATTTTCTTGTGTCAATACGTACGCCAATAACAATAAAACTCTTCTGCCCTGAATAAATGCAGATTATATGCGGCATTAACTGAACTAATTTAGCTAACTTCATTTTTTCTTTTCTTTATTCAATTTTTCAAATTTCCACTTTATGTAGGTTGAGGTTATTCATTTTTCAAAATAATTTCTAAAAAATGACAAACAAAATCAGGTTTGTAGACTGCTCCTTTTCCCATTTAACCCACTTCAGTGATATATTTTTGAACAGCAAAAAAAAATTATGATTTTTTAAATCTTAGCATTGGGAGGCTGAAAGTTTGACGTAAAAAAACTGCTTTGAGTTGCAAAAAACATCTTCGGTTAACAAAATAACTCAACCCGACATATGAGGGAAACAATACAAAAGGACTATTCAGGCCTGATAGCACTTAAAAGATACTCTGCGAATCGCAAAAACATCAACTAATTATTGACTCCGAAAAATTGTTTTTTGAAGCCACATTGTTTGTACGATACAAAACTCAATCTTGTATAAGCTGTTTAGATGCCTAAAAATATCTCTAAATTAACTCTAGGCCAAGAATAAATTTCGATATATAAATATTTTCATTTATTTAACAACTTTTTCTAGGGGATCTTAGCAAACCCCGCACGCAGTTTCAAGCGTTAATAATCGATTAAATTATGATTTTAGAACCAGTCTTACAAAATTGAGAAAAATTGATTTTAATCAATTAATAATTGTTTATAGTATCTCTCTTTAAAATCAAGTATAATCAATTATAATACATTATAATCGATTACAATCGATTATTTTTATCCGAATTTCTAATTCTTTTGTTTTGCAGAAATAATCTATTAAAATCGATTATAATTTTTTGTAATCCGTTTTCCTTGCCCATTTTGTCTTCGACCTTGCACCTGAATTGCTTATATTTATGATTTTTGTAGACATTGGTTTATGTGAAAAATGGGAAAATTTTTGTAACTGTTTTCAAATCAAATAAAAATTATGCTGCTTTTTTTTTTCATTTTTTCTTACTTATAGTTGTTTCATGATGTAGATTTTAAATTTTTTTCACCACCAAAATATCAGCACACAGCTTTAGTTTCATGATTTATATACAAGAATTATGTTTCACCTTCCGCGGGATTCTTTCAACTAATATGAAGGGATGAACCAAGAGATGAACCAAAGAAAAACGAGACATCTCATTTTTAGAGATTTTTGACAGAAAAAGGATTATAACCTATTATAATAGGTTATAATAGATTATAATAGATTATAAGATATTATAAGAGATTATTAGAGATTTTCAGAAAAATTATAATCAATTATAGTGATTATAATTTATTATAATGTCACGAAAAATGTTATCCTTTCTCTTTTTACTGAGTGCCGGACTGCTGTTTTTTGCAAAATGAAGTTTTTAGTTTAAAATAAGAACAAATAAAATAATCAATACTGCAGCAAATTTCAGACACACTTCGAAAAAAAGAGAGATCAAAACTTTCGATTTTTTTTGTTTGGACCAGTGTTTTTGTTTGAAAGCAAAACTACGTAATAAACACAGAGCAATCAGCAAATATTTTTTTGTTTAGATTCATCCTAGAGTGAGTTAAATTCACAAGTTAATAGAAAAGTTAAAAAACAAAAAATAATCCTAAATGCTGGTTTAAAGTTTTTGAAGTTAAGTCCAAAATTGACCAACTCAAGCGAGTTTTGTGCAAATTCTCGCTATGTCCTCTCAAAATTAGTCTAAAATTTCTCATTCAAATTATAAAAAAGTTGGTTTCTTCTTATGAAAGCTGGTTTTGGTAGCTTAATTTAGCGCTTCCTTGCCAATGAAAAGTCATTGACTGTCAATCTTGCAGTATTTTACTATATTCAACTGCTTTTCCCCAGAAGATATTAGAGGAAAGTGAAACAAAAATAAGGATATCCGGTTGATGTGGGGGTAGCACAGACTATTTAGACTACATTCTGAATGAAAAGTGGTTACTTGTTTATTATACTTAAAATCGTTTCTTTTTGTGCGTGTCTTTATGAGATTTATACACAAACGTGAAGAACGTTAGTGAATTAGAGATAACCTTCAACAGTTGTTTTCGAAAAACTACCAGCAAACAAACAAAGTTTCGATGACAACTTAACTTTTCTTGATTATGTCTAACGTACTAAACTTGTACGCGTTTAAATTGACAAATGGATTATATTGACAAAAAAATATTAGGATTATAATCCATTTTTAATGGATTATAATGTACTATTTTGTCATTTTATAGATGATGACCATATTATGACAATATAATCGATTATGATCCATGGGCGCTCGGTTCGGTTAAACAGGAAATGAGATAACTTTGAAAAAATTGGAAAATTCTTGATAAACCTCTCGAAAAAATCCATTATAATCGATTGTAATTGATTATAATGGATTATGTTTGCATAAAAAATATTAGGATTATAATCCATTTTTAAAGGATTATAATCAATTATTTTGTATTTTTATAGATGGTGATCATATTATGAAAATATAACCGATTATGATCCATGGGCGTTCGATGCGGGAATTCTGTAAAAATTGTAGCATCTATTGTTCTGATCCATTTTTTGTGTAATTTCAACCCAAGTAGTCGTTTAAAAGTATAGTTCCATTGAAAATCTCTCTTAGAATCCTGATCTTCAAAAACTGCCAATAACCCCAAATAAAAGTCACACCTGATACTTTCAATGATTTGACTTTACATGAAAAAAAGTGACAAATAAAACAAAGAAATGCTTACTAGTTTTCCTGTTTTTTTTTTCATTCACCTGAAGATCATCAATTACAATTCAAGTGGTCTGACGGGTCTAAACTTCTGAGAGAGTTTTCGCATCGGATTCATCAAAAACGGTAGGGCCATGCTTATAAACGAGTACCTCAAAATAATTTCAGAAAAAACGGTTTACAAATAATCTTTTGCAGTAATTTTAGCTAAAACTAACTCAGACTAGCTCTTTCTTTTGGCTTTGGCTTCTGGGCGTTTTTTCAATTTTCCTCTGAAAACTTGCATGACAGATCATTTTAAGTCAGTTTTTTTTCAATGTTTGGTCTTGAAGTCCTTCAAAAGTTAGACATTGCTGAAAAACGCATTTTTTTGCCATTTTATTGTCTAAAGGTCAGAATTATTTCAGAAATTTTAAGAGGAATTTTTTTTGGAAAATTCTTCGCATTTTTTCACAACAATTTTTCGGAAAACTTGGTGAAAACTATACTTGATACGCAATTTTTGGCAAAAAATTCTAAAGGTTGGAATAAGCTGCGCATAAGTTTTCCTTCGGTCCCCCCTTTGGTACTTTTTAAGAAATCCATTTTTGGCCCTACATTTTTTTAACGGCTTTTTTAACCGTGCCCAAAACGGCTTTTTTAACCTTTTTTTTTCATTTTTTTTTTCAAAATTTGCCTGTGGCGCAGAAAATTTGGCCAAAACAGCGTCTTTTTAGTGCATTAGGAGAGCTCAATTTGGTCGACAAAAAAAGGTCGTCAAAATTTTCGAAACTTTTTTGAAAATCCGCCCCCCCCCCCCGAGAAAATCCTAGATCCGCCCCTGTCAGTAAAACGTTTTCGACCGGAATTGATAGAGAGAAAAAATAAGCGTTTACTTACTGTCAAGCGTTTACTTACTGCCGTTAAGTCAGCGCGGCTGGTTAATTAATCATCGAGACTAGAAACTGTCAGCGCAACTTCACTAGGCGCGTGGGGCAAACAGAGGAAAGAGACATGGGTAAATTTATTGGAGTGAAGGAAATTAGAACGGGCGACATGAAAAGAGCTGAAAAAGGGCAGATTTGGACAGGGTGTCAATTGGAACTCAAATCAGAGGCAACAAATGTAAATTGCTTTTCTACTTCAGTTTTTATTATACCCATTTTGACCTTTTTACACCAAAAAAGCTAGTTACAATATTCATATAATGGTTCTGAAAAAAGCTTATCATGTAATTCTCATAGATTAGAATTAATTGAGTAGTGCATTTAAAAAAAAATATTTAGTTCCCCACGAAACATCAAATTCAATTGACGGAGAAGTGTAAAGAGGTTCAGTGGAACTAATGTTATCCAATCATGTTTTTAGAACTAAAATCGAACTATATGTACAACAAGACTGCTCGTATCAGGGCGAAGCCCTAAATTTTGCGACTGCCTTTTAAGGTCTATGAATCATCAATAACTTGCAAAAACTGAACGTCAAAAAAAATATTATTTTTTTTTAGTTTAGAATTTTTTGTGAAAAGCATCTCCCCACACGATATTTAAAGTACAAAGTGATAGACTTTGCACCGAGTAACAAATCAATTATGGCAAATAAGCTTACTTCAACCAATTTGGAACGATTTTCTCCGCTTACGCGTTAATTCCCAAAATGACCAAAATGGCAATTTTTAAACCCCCATTACGTTACAAAAAATGATCACAGGTGAAATATCTTTTCAATTTTAAGCTCAAGGCAAAAATACCTTTTGAATGATATTAAACAAATTCCGTCAAAAATAGCTAATTAAAAAGTCGTATTTTGTCTGAAGAAAAAAAACACCACCCCAAGCACAGATATTCAGTTACTTTTGTTACGAAAGTCGGAACAATAACTATGCCTTTGGGCGTAAAATTCGGATTCCGCGACTAAGTTGAAAGGAACATTGTCTCGGAATACGCGAATAAAAACTTTTTTCTGTATTCTTTTCGGATGCCTTTGATAACGTGCAATTCAAAACCAAACTACTTAAACATAGCTTTGATAGCTTTGATTTAAATATAGCACAAAATTTAATGGTCTGACAATTTACGTCAGATGGAAATTATTTGTGGATTCCACAACATGTTGGAAAGCAGTAACTTTGGTGGAAATTT